GTGTGCACACCCAGGCTGTGTCTACCCAAGCTCTGACACTGTGCTGTATACTCTAGTAACCCTGCTCCTCTGGTGTTGTTGCTTCTGCTGCAGACTGTTGGATTTTAGACTTTAGAGTGATAATACGGGCTGCAGTCTTATTCTGTCTTTCATGTTTCCTTGTGAATGTATTGACATTTTTTTTCTTTGCTCCCTTTTAGTTTAAAGTTCCTGCAGCTACAAGTGCAATTATTACTAATGGTAAGAATTCACTTTAAACCTTAAGCACTGGAGGCATTGTGAGTTGAATCCCCAAAACCCCTTGTGTATATTAATATAAGCATTACATTAATGGTAAACCTTGCGTGGAGGCCACTGTATATAAAGACTCTGCTGCTTGGGAAGCTACAGAGTGATCTAGTGTATCTGTCTCTCCCTCTAGGTTAATACTCCAAGCAGCTTCCTGGGAGTGTGTGTGTGTGTGTGTGTGTGTGTGTGTGTGTGTGTTGTATCAGAAAGCACTTGAGAGTATAGAAAGTTAAGTAGGAGTGTAACTTGCCTATAATGAATAAATGTACTAATAGGATGCTGGATGGCAGAATTGCAATGTTTTTCCCTTTAGATATATTCAGTTTTTAAAAATTGAATACCTTGGAGCACTGGTAGAAATTCCAGTGGAACTGGCCTTATGAGATAGTAAACCATGAATGAGCTGTGAGAGGAGCATGTGTCTATCTTCTGTGTATGCATTACTGTCGATGGCAAGTGTCCCGTGCAGGAGGTTCCACCCAGGGGGAGGGATCGGGTGCAGTAGCTCAGCATAATTTAGGTATGACTGGATTTCTTACTTCTGCATGTTGTCACATTGAAGAGTGGCCAACTTTCTGAAAAGTTAACAGATTTTCCAGTAGAAATGATTAAAACATTCAGAGTGTCACTAGAACATGAACAAAATGACCTGTGGCCTCTCTCATCTTGGAGATTGTCTGCTACCCTACAGCAGAAATGACTAGTGGCATAAGGTGTTTGTTTTCTCAAGCAAGAAGTGACACTGTTTACTATGTTAGTAAAATGGAATTAAAACCACTGTCTTCTATAGAAAGTATGAGTCATTGTACTTAGGGTCTATTTGTTGGTGTTCTGGGTTACACAGGATGATTGATCAAAGAAAAGAGCCACTGTGTCCTCAGGCATCTCAACCGCAGGGGATCAGCCTCTGAAGAACTAACTGAGTGCTGACAGCTTCCTAGAAGCTCTTTTTACTCTTCCACAAAAGGCACCTTTAGCAAGTTAATTTTCACACACTAAAACTTCTTATATGATCTAGAGGTTGTCTTAAAAGACCCATCCCCTGAGCAATTCTCAGTCATATCAGACTTCTTGGTTTGCCAGGCATGTCTCCAGCCTAAGTTATGAAAAAGCTCTGAGAATCCTTCAAAAGAGTAACCTCCAAAACCTCAGATAACAGTCAGTGACAAAAGACTACTTCAAAGCTTAGGTGCCGTCAGTCTGGAATTCATGCCAGATACAGTGGCTCTGCTAAAACTCTGCTGTATCTTTTGTCTCCTCCTGTGGTGCTTATAAATACATACTCATGGGAGGTGGCTTCAGACAGGTGACTCACCTAAGAGATTGTTGTCTGGGTTCTGTTAATGAAGTTGCTCAGCCTTTGCCTGTGCTCATAGCTGCAATATTCTGGCAAATCTCTTGTTGCTGTTAAATTGCTTTAGCTTTAGAAATGACTTACATGATTTATAATTTATTTTTCAGATGGAATAGGAATAAATCCTGCACAGACTGCTGGTGAGTGTCTGCTTGTGTGCCCATTGAAACTGGATATTTTATTCATTTCAACTAGATAGGATTTTTCAGAAGACAGAGCTGTGTAGCTTATGTGGCAGTCTCCTTGTAACTCACTGATAATTGGTTTCATTTTTATATGCTGATGTTCTATGGTTTTTACTATAAATAAATGGAAGCCTGATTAATAATGTTTTAGGAATTGAGAATGTTTAATTAATGTGTATAACAAAGAAGTCTGAAGGTGAGACTGTGTTGCCAAGTACTGACTGCCCCTCCTCTTAAAGTGATTTTGAGGTAGTCAGTGAATTGCTTTAAGTCTGGATATTTCATGGTTAGCATCCAGAAAGTGACAAAAAGTGCTAGCTGCTATTCCTTTAAACAGCTACAGCCACTGACATCTCAACGGCTGCTATCACAGGGGAGCTGTGTGAGCCTAACTCCGCATGAAATGTTGGCATCCTGGCCTGCTGGAGGGGGAATGTGCCTAACATTAGTAAAGGTGCTCTTAAACTGAGGGAAGACTGCTGTTCTCCAGTGCATTCTTTGGGCTGCTATTCTAACTGTAATACTTTGAAGCTGTGCTATTTAATGTAGCCTCACTCTTGAACAATACTTGGCTTCTAAACCATTGTATTTGGAAGATTTTGACTTACAACAATTACAGATCACTGAAAGTCACAAATCTAGCCAATGAAGAGTAATTTACAATTGCAGATTTTTGTTACCACCATCAATCTTCTTGAGTATATACTTCAAATTGAAAGTTTATTTATGGAAAATTGATGCATCGTTTGCTGGGTGACAATGTTATTTTTCCTCTTTAGACGCCTGACTTCATGTTTTTGTTTGTTTGTATAGGGAATGTTTTTCTGAAGCATGGCTCAGAGCTGCGAATCATTCCTAGAGACCGAGTTGGAAGCTGCTAATATATGCTTCTTGGAATACACAGCCTTTCAGAATATATACTGGTATTTGTTGGTGGTGTACCATTGAAATCAGGCATTCACAATACAATGAAAGCACCAAGAATCCACGGAACAGGGCAAGTTGACGCTTGTCCCTTCTTGTTCATTTTTCTCATGGAAAGAGAGAATGCCTTTGAGTGGAGGTACCACACCACAGGTCACACCATGGTGACTGCTGCCTCACTGGGAGAGAGTACCTCTGTGACAAATGGACTGTGCTTTAAAACAAAAACAGCAAAACTGGAGGATGAGTGCTAATTCTTTTCAGGAACGTTTGCAAAATTAAAATACACAGAATCAGATGTGTTTTCTGATTTTGAAATTTAAAAGGATAATTGATCATAGAGGCATTTATTTGGCTTGCCAGCATCTCCTAGTTAGATTTTTAAATTCTATAATTCTAGGTGAACTTAATAGGCATTTGAATGAACAGTTAAATTTATAAAACCAAACATTAAATTATGGGATCTCACCATTATAAGTTGCTGTTGTGCATCACATAGCTTCGATAAGAGAGATCTTGTGAAATCAAGTGTGTCATGGTGGGAACTACCACAGAAGCACCCTTAGCTATATTATGAATTCCTTGATAAATAATAAAGTTTTAAGTCAGAAATCATTAAACCATTCTTTTTGAGGATTCTATTTTTGAGCAGCATCCAAAAGTGTTGTTACAGAGATGATCCGAAGCATTGATGGAGTGTCCTTAATGAAGAGGGAACTTTAAAGAAGCTGTTAGCATTAGTCACAAGTGGATAAAGAACCAGGGAAGCAAAGATAGCCAGGCTCTTCCCAGAAGAGCAGAGGAAGTGGGGAGAATCAGGAGGCTGGCAGTGTCCAAAGGCAGGAGAAGTCCGAGGACATAGCTGTAGCAGGGCTGGGAAAATGTAAAAGGGAGAAGAGTACTGGGCACGGGGTCAGAAGGCAACTGCACACACATCAAAACTCACTGTAGCAATCTACAAGGATTTACATAAGATTTCAGGGCTGGGACTCTGTGCCCAGTACTCTTCTTCAGAATGAAGGAGGTTACCAACTCCCCAGAGTCCTCCTCTATCCTTATGTAGACATCCAGATGTGAGCCAGTCCCCTCCCACAATAACTATCCGCCTTTATGCAGGAAGTCCGTGTCTGGCACGTGTTTCAGGATGAATTAAATGCTGACAGTGACTGAGAGCTAAGCAGCTCTGCTTTAGTGGGTGAGCTCTTTGGAGGTGAGGGTTTGTCACATGTTCCCTAGAACTAGAGCTACAGGTTCTCAATAAATACTTACTGAATTCATGAATAATGTCTTCAGGACCAATTTTTATCTTGTGTCTCATAGTCCCTACTGCAGGCCCTATTGGGAGATGGGGAGCTTGTAAGGTAATTAAGGCTTGCCATCTGAGGGGCTATCTTAGTAGATGAAGGAATTGTCCACAGGTTTGTGGAGCATGTTCTGGGGTTCTGAATTATGTAGCAATATGCAGCTTGTGTTTGCTGGGGTTTTATGTTTATGCCTAGTGCCCAGAGACCTTATTCCTTATAATATTAGGCTTCTGGTAACCAGATAGTTTTTATTTGCCACCTAATTTTGCTTACTATTAAGCTTCTTACATTCTCCTTTGCACAAAATTCTGCTTGTCAGTAATGTTTATACAGTCCTACAATATGAAATGATTTACCTAACAACAGTTTTTTGATTTGAAAATACATAGTCTTGAAAATATTTTACTCAGAAACTAGATAATTTGTTATTAAATAAATGTGACCTATAAGTTCTTTATGCAGAATGTTTTAGGCATGGTATTTAATTTAAATGTCCATAATTAATACCTTAGGAAAATACATTTTGTTACACTGTAAATCATGGCTACCTATATTTTACTATCAGGCTTCATACCTATTGAGCCAGATTATTTATACTCTTTTTGTGAATGCAAAGATACAAGGTAAGTCATGAAAAATAAATGTATATTTCTAAATGTCAGTCCTTTATATGGAATAAGAGAACTTCTGGTGGTCCCAGTCCTGAGTGGTGTCCAGAGTGAAGCTAGGAAATTAGAACTACTGACTTCTGAAGTCATCCCAAGTGTTCCCACTCAAGCATGAGGACCTTGTAAGCAGGTCTGGGGGCTGCACGTGCTGCTTGAGTATTAGCACCACAACAGCCTTTCCACCCTTGAAAGCAGGACTAAGGCGAAGGTCAAAGTACCCTGGAATCTTGGGCATTCCTTTAATCTGCTTGATTCTGGAGTCATCTGATAGAACACAAAGATAAAAGATGCTGAGATGTAGTCACTGCTGGAAAACTGTCTTTACAATCCGGATTTTGGCTAATTTCTTAGGTTTGGTTGCTATTTGAAGAAAGTATATATAAATAAGTCCAAGGGAGTTGGTGCAGCCAATAAAGGTGTTCTCTTCCAATAACCTGAGTTCCATCCCTGGGACCTGCATGGTGGAAGGAGAGAAATGACCTTCACATTCACATTATTACACACACACACACACACATATGCACACACATATGTAAAAACATTTTAAGCTACTATATGTCTTTGCCCAAGAGACATTGGGCAAACATATCTCCAAACATTTGTACATTGGAAGCATCGAAATACTATAAGGAATAGTTCTAGGCACTTACTGTTCCCAAGGCTATTTATAAAGCTAGGTAAAATTATGTGCATAGTTATCTTTAAGATCTGTTGAACTAGGGCCAGACAAATGGCTCAGTGGTTAAGAGTGCCTCCTGGTCTTTCAGAGGACCAAGGTTTTGTTCCAAAAACCCAAATAGTAGCTTACACTCCATTTCCATGGTATTCATTGCCCTCTTCAGGGTTCTATAAATGTTCACATACTTGCAAACAACACTTATGTATTCATAAAATTAGAAAAAATTGGTAAAAGTCTTCTGAACTTCAAATGTGAAGATGATGTAACATATAACTTGTTGAACAGGTGCTAAGTGGTTTCCACTCACTGGGAGGATTAGGAAGAATGTACCTTGGCCTTTGAGCCAGGCTTTGCCTTTGAGGGTTCATATAATTGGAGAAATCTTTGTATCTGCTTTCTGCAAATTACTAATTTGCATTGAATTGTACATTTTAAAAAATGAAACAAGTTCCTCAGCACGCTGAAAATGTATAGTAATGATTGACAATCCTTTGAATACATAGTGTGATATGGATGGAAATGGACACACATAATCCCAGCAGTAGGGCTGCAAGATCAAAGGCAGCCTGGGTTGTGCTGCAAGACTGCCTGTAAACACAAAGATGCTTAGAAAAACAGTGACAGGAACTGTCTGGAGTTCTACTAACCCAGGCTCTGCTCAGAGTCTACCATCTGTCCAAGAAGCCTTCCTGGGCTGGAGTTTGTGCATGGGCAGCTGTGCCTGCTGCTCTCATGGTTTACTTCTGCAGCTGTACCTTGTGACAGAAGCTGTTTAGTCCTCTGCTGTGCCATACCTATTCTTACATGTCCCTGCCTTCACTTTCCCATCTGTGAGTCCAGGAAACCCATGTTCTGAAGATAAGAAGCCTCTCTGCTTCCAAGCCAAATTAGGACTTGAGTCACCTCTTTTTTGTGGAAGAGTTATTAAACCCAGAATTATTTGTCTCAAACTATGAGTTTTATAAGTCCAATATCAATATCATGGTTTGAATAAGAATGGCCCTCACAGGCTCAGATATTCAAATGCTTAGTCACCAGGCACTATTTAAGAAGAACAAGGAAGTGTGACTTGTGGTCACTAGGTTGTGTTGTGAGGTTCTTAAAGCCTACGCCAGACCCAGTCTCTCTCATGCTCTCAGCCTTTCACTCACCTTCTACCTGTGGATCAGGCTGTAGCTCTCAACTACTCAACAGCACCATGCCTACTGCAAGCCACCATGTTTTCCACCATGATAATGGACCAAACCTCTGAAATTGTAAGCAACCCTGGAGTAAATGCTTTCTCCTGTAAGAGTTGGTTTAGTCATGGTGTCACTTCACAGCAATAGAACAGTGACTAAGACAAATTGCCAAAACTGGGTTTCAAATTTTAATTGCCAATAACAAGTACTTTATAAAGCAAACAAACATGAAAACTTTGAAAATTGCAACTATTTCTGCTTCATCATCAGTATTTGATTAGCATATCCATAGTTCCCACAGTTACCAGTTACTTGCCTTGAAAATTTTATCATTTCTATTCTCCATTTCAGTGAGAATATTCATTTATGTAACAGTCATTTGAAAAGGTTTGTGGCCCTGTTGTCTGATTTTTTTTTTTGCATAAAGTTTTGATCTTGTTAAATACAAAAGAACAGCCAAGGTTGACAAATAGCCAGTTTTGGACAAAAATCTCTGATTCTCTGGCAAAACTCATTTGAAATGTAAAAGCTGTTATTGAGAGCATATCGTGATGATGCATCATGTCAATATTTGTTTGGCTGCCTAGCAAGTTTAATAAATCAGTTCTTAAATGTACAGTTCACAGTTGATGAGTTGGTATAGAAATAGGCTCTGCAGTTTGTGTTGTCAGCACCACAAACATTTTGACAAGTATAGAGATGCTTGAGTCTCTAGATATTTTCATTTTGATGTTTTGTAGATAAATATATGGACAGATTAAGGCTTTTTCCATTTTTAGATATCCACATTGTCTAAGGATGAAACAAGGAGTTAGATTACCAAAGTAACAGTAGTGATAGTCTCATGTCGTGGTTGGCTACATATAGCCAAACAGATGTAGCTTCTCAGAAGTGATGAGGTCTCATCACTAGACACTCGTCTGAGCTGTGGCTGTGTCTCTCAGTCTGCAAATATCCTGATTTAATTTTTAAATGGATCCATTGTGTACCTGTGAGAGTGAGTATAGTGTCTGTGTTTCAGAATGGTATTTATTCAGAGGGACTCTCTAAAATGTATTCTATCTCATTTTTCTTATGTTATATATTTTTAAATATTTTTAAAACAGTATATCCCTAGACATTTAAAAATGTTAAGTACCATTTGAAGACATGGCATCCTTGTTGTAAACAAAGACATAAATATAAAATTCTGACCTGCCTTGTGTCTTCTGCTCCCCACTGTCCTTCCTAGCCCCACATCTGAAAGAAGTCTCTTGCTTTGGGAAGCTGCTTAAGGACTTCCCAGAATGCACTTCATTTGTCCCTTGTGGCAGTACATTTTATAGTCAGCTATGTCAGTGTTGGGCTTCACAGCCTCACCTCATCAGGTTGCCTAAACAGTATTTCTGATTTCTGTCTATATCAGATAAATCTTTTTTAAAAATTTATATGTATGACTTTTCTTGCATGTATGTATGTACACCATATGCCTGCCTGGTGATTGTAGAGGCCAGGAAAGTACATCAGATCCTCTGGAACTGGAGTTACAGATGGATGTGAACCATCATGTGTATTCAGAGACTCAAACCCAGGTCCTCTGGAAGAGTAGCCGGTGTTCTTTACCATTGCTCTGTCTCCAGCTCCTGCCTGCTTTCTTTGTAAACCCTAACTCTAACATTTGTTCTGATTCGATAGTCTTCCATTGTTTTACCTGACTTCCATATTGTATAGAAGATTTAAATTGACCTGTGCAACCACAGAGATTGAAGAGCATCCTTAAGTGCAACTGTTGCCAGAGATCTTTCTAGGATCTTTGTATATGAGAACCACTTGCCTGAAATCTCATGAGGCAACGAAATGTGCAGGTTCACCTGCTAGGGTAACAAGTACCCCCATGTTCAAATAACTCACATCTTGGTTGAATGTATTAATATTAACTTTGGAGGGACATGCAGCCATTATCAAATGAATTTAATGGTATGAGCTACGTCAGCCTCGTGCTTGTGATTCACCTGTGACCCTTGCACTTGATCAGATCTATCCATGTGAGGGGGCAATTCCATGATCGATGGATACTCACTAATGTCTGCCAGAAGTCTCAACTCCTTTAAGCTATGGAGTGTGTTTTTGTGCTTGCTTCAAGCACAAATAGTACTAAGATCTTTATTACCTTCTCCTCTGCCATGACAAAATGTCTGACAGAAACTTAAGAGTTATTTTGGCTCATGTTTCCAGAGGGTGATTTCAGCAAGGGCAGTTCTATGTTGACAAAGGTGTGTGGCAGACTGCATCCTAGGGCAGCTAGAGCAGGAAGCAGGGTATGCATGCTACAAGCAGAACCAGGCTTAATCTTCAAAGGCTCACCCCTAATGACTTACTTCCAGCAGTTAGACTATCCCAAACCCTTCATACCTTCCCATACAGCATCAGGGTCTGTGGATGGAGTGTCAACCACACAACCTTCTGGAGG